TCCTGGTATGTGATATCATTATTGAGTACCTATGTCAATAGGTCCTATTCCTTGTGAATATGGTGCTAAATTCTTAGTCAATGAAGTGTCAGATTTCTTCTTTGTGAAGTTACTCTCAGTCTGCATTATAGCCTGTTTCTTTTCAGATTTTCACTTGCTGATTCGGGTCTTCACTGGCAAATCTTTCAACTGTTATTATAGTGGTGAATCACTAATGGCAATTTTGGATTTCTCTCCTTTTTCCACATTTACTGATTTGATATTTCTCTACAAACAGTAGCCCCTTGGGAGTGATCAATGATTCATTCAATTACTATGCACGTTAGCATGGACACATGGGAGTTTTGACTCCATAAACTGTAATCAAACTGACTGAACATTGCTTGGCTCGCTCTTCTCTTTAGCCTGCTCGGCGATACCCCTGGGTACAGCATTTAGAGGGACACAGCATGCCACATGCTCAAGTTAGCTGTCTCTTTTTTTGTTAAATAAGTGAAAATATGAATACTGATATTTAGTTATTCCAGTTGAATTTTTTAGTTTCAGGAAAAAAATCCTATTTGTTACTTCCTCGAGGTCTTTCAATGCTTTCCTAGAATTATGTCAAATCTCTTTCTACACTTCACCCATGTCATTGTCTGTCTCCTTGAGTAGCTTTACTTTCATAGAAACCTCTCTGTTGTCTGGTGGGCTGGTTGCCTTTTTGTTGGTGTTACATCTTTTTAAGGATGGAGTTTAAATCTACTCAATGTTGCTCAGTTACTTCCAGCTTTAGGAGGCTGAAATCTGGATTATGCAGACCATGTACAGTCTGTAGCCCTAAATCCAGAGAGTGGGGCAGCCAGACCCCCAGAGGAAGTGTCTTCTCTGCACCAAACCTCGGAATAGAAAGGACTTCATCCACACTTCAGATCACCCTCAGCTCCTCTTCACACAGCTCTTTCACCTGTGTGGATGATTCACAGAGTTCAAACTTTTTCCCTGAGGTTTTCCTAGGCTGGTTAACCCCTGCAAACTCTAACTCAGAAGCTCAGAAGTTTCCAGATTCATCCCTGCTGGTGGGATGGACCAACAGCTTTCTGCTTCAGCACCAGTGATGGGCTAGAATTAGCACTGGGAGTAGAAACTACAAGGGACTTAACAGCCCACAGCTGAATTCAAACAGAATAGCTGTACTCCAAGGTGTTCCTGCACAGGGCCTTAGAAACGCATAGCATCCTTTATCTGTCTGGATAATTGTGCTTCTAATGCTAATGAGCAAAAAACAAAACTAACCTAAACAAAAACTAAAGAAAAAACATCTACCTTTCCTGTTATCCAATTCCTAGAACACCAAAGCAGTGTAAAGGCTAGAAAAAGAAATATGGAGGATGGAATTGAAGAGAGATATCTTCTTCATCACAGCAGTCCTGGTGAGGTAACTATATTTTGGGTGTTTATGAAAGTCCTTAACTGACTTAGATTCTTGGGTGGCCTTGCCCAATGGAAAAGAAGACTTGATCATATCTGTGCCAACCAAGAGCATGACTTTTGCTGGTAAAATGAAGACTCCTCTTAACAAAAGGTCTGGGAGAAAAATGGAGTACCAAGAAATTGGAATTTGATTGAGTGCCTTTCCATTACAGAGAAAGGACTGTTTCTGGGAAGATGTGACAGTAAATGTAGGAACAATTACAGGGATAGTTTATGAAATCTCTTGTGGCTCTCATGAGCAAGAATACATAATAAAAAATATAGGACCTCAGAAAACAAGTTAAATTACTTACAATGTCATACCTATGAAAAGCGGCTTTTTTAAACTAAAAAGGGATTTCAGTATCTTTAATCGATAAAGATAAAAAAGGTCTGCAGAAAATCATGCTGCTCATCAAAGGAGGAGTCAGAGCTAGAGCCAGGTAGGAGAGTCTGATCCTTGTTCAAATTACTCAACAAAAAGAGCGAGTAGAAGAGTGAACTGGCAAATCAGACAACAAATACTGTCCGCATAAAGGAAAAGTTAACCATAAAAGGCATCTGTTTGCTTGCCAGGTCTACCCCCTGAAATATAATCTTGAAAACCGAGTTAACACAGAAGTTATTTACAGGCACCTGTCTCACAGTGACCTGTGTTTATCTTCTGCTTGGAGCATAACCTGTCTCTTAAGTACCATTTGACAAGATATTTGAAAAATCACAGTGTCCTTAAGAAATCTAATTAAACGTTTTAATGCAACTTTTCGGCTTTCCAGCAGGTTTTATTTAAAATATCCTGGAGATGGAAGACAGTCACCGATGCTGTCCTGGGGAGAATGAGTAGATGTCCTCTTCCCCTAGACCTTTATTTACATCTGGCTGAAATCACCACTAAGAACTTGGTGCACTTCCTGCCTCTGCAGGCTCAGGAGAGATAAAGGATCCATCGCCTTTAAATATACCAGAGCTGCTGCTCAGAACAAGTGAAAACAATTTTTGGTTTTTATAAAACTCAGATTCTAACGTAAAAGTCAACCCACAAACAGAACTGGTACTTAGTGTACAATTTTGGATATGAAAGGTACAGGTGAGAGAGCTGATTCACTATGAAGGAGGCCAAGTGAGTGTGTTGGATGCAACCTGACACCCTCTCTACCACCATGAAGCACCAACAACTTTGGCCAGTGTTCTTGCACTGTTCCATGCTTGACATGAAAGTAACAAACAGCAGCTACAAACTCTGCTGAGCCTTTGAACAGGGATTCTCAGTCATTTTTGCAATGGGTTTACATATATCATTATTCAGGACACGGGCACATTATCCCATGTGACTTTAAAATTATATAATTATCTTAAGTGAGATTTTTTAATGTGGCAGAATTGTAATCCCATAAAATCTCAATGAATTATCAAAATAACTTATACCTGAATATTTCCTTTAATTAATCACATCTTAGTGAAATCTCTTTTCATGTAATTTTTTCATCGGTATTTATCTTAAGGGAACACAATGACAAATTGTTCACTTTGATGGCAGGACACAGGAAAGTTATACACAACATACTTAATAAGGGAGCGGCCCCAGGCTGCCAGCTTTTTCACAAGGAAGATGAGAACAAAGGCGCAGCTTCCTCTCTGGTCCACAACTCCACAGTGAGTCTGAACTGTGAGAACAACTGTTTTACTCCTGTCACTAGTAAGGAGCATGACTAGCAGATAGGAAAGGAGAGGAAGTAAGGCAGTGACGTGGGGCAGGACCGACACTGAGCCAGCACCCAGCCCGGCTCTCAGCACAGGGTCATCCAGCAGGACTGACACTGAGCCAGCACCCAGCCAGGCTCTCAGCACAGGGTCATCCAGCAGGACTGACACTGAGCCAGCACCCAGCCAGGCTCTCAGCACAGGGTCATCCAGCCAGTTACTCAGAGACGCTGCTCATGCAGAACCCAGACCAAGCAGAGGACGGTGCTGACACAGAGTCAGACCCCGGGTCACCCGGGCTGGCTGCTGGTGCCTTGTGTGAAAGGCAGGCAGGCAGACAGACGGACAGACAGACACACCTCCCGTGGCCAGCCAGCCTGCCACATTCCCAGCCATGGCTCCCATTCCGCTTCCCACCCCCTTGGTCACTGGCTTAGATGGTGCGGATGTTATCCCCAGCACTCTGCACCAAGGACACCAGGGCTGTCATCGCGCCCAAGGTAGCTGACAGCGGCTCCAGGTTACACTACCGTGAGTAGATGGGCTTGCCAGCCTCGCTCAGCACAAACACATGCTTCTGCTGGCTGCGCCAGTCCTCCTCACTGGGATCCCTGCCCTGGCCCCCACAGCCACTCTCTGCACCACCTCATTCTCCAGAATGAGGGGGAACTGGCCCTCTTCCTCCACCGACTACCATTAATACACATTAACATTTGGTTCCTTACCAACCCTCAAATCCTTTACTGATTCTTCAATAATGCGGAGGCAGAGTGCTCAGTACTCCCTACTGATTTCCTTTCCCATCACAAGGATTCTATACCCAAGTGCCCTCACTTACCTTCTAAATAGTTCCTCCTTTGACCCTATTCATGTTCATTAACCTAAATACCTTAGGCCCCCAGTGGCCCTCTCTGACACCAACCACATTTTTGTTGATTGTCAGTCACCTGAACTCACCAAATACATTCTGGTTTGCCCAGAACTGGGAGGTTCCTGGGATAAGGGTCTTTCAGTGCTAAATTGGGTATTTTCCGGTACAAATAGGTTTGATCCCTCACAACATGCATCTACCAGGACCACAGAACTGCACTTGGTGAACACCAGCGGATACCTACTGACTTCCTTTTAATTCCTTAATGATTTAAACTACACAAATGAGTCTACTATTACCTCCTCCCAGCATGGCGATGGTTCAAGCTACTTCCGAGTCCCCAAAGACTCCTCATTGATCTTTCACTAATCCTCTTCTCCCTTACCCAACATGTCCTCCCCCACGCGCGCTTTTCTTCCAAAACCCTAGAGAAGGCAGCATACATATTTCCTCCAGGTCCCCATCTCTGGTATCTGGTGGGCCCGAGGGAACTCCACCAGCTCCAGTCTCCTCCCTAGGGAACTGCGTGCCCTCCAAGTCCTGTGTGTCCCCAGGGGCTGGGGCAGCAGCGTCTCTGCTGGCCTTCATCTGCACATCCCTGGGGGAAGGGGAATCGAGGGTGACAGGCAGCAAAAGACACTTCTCAGAAGCCTTTACAGAGCCAGGTCCCCTGGACACATTCCCAGCGCTTGTTTCCCCCCACAGCTTTCCACGGGATGAGCCATTCAAAATCGTGTCCAAATACCTGCACCCTCCAAGGCTTTCTGCAGAGAGGCTCTAGTAGCCTGAGGGAAACAAAGGCATATAAACACTTGTTTTAAGCCCCGTATCTCAACTGATCCTGACTCCGAAGCCAGGACAGCACCACACTTCTGGGTGCCGCTGAGGTTCGGCCACACTTTAGCAAACCACCGCTCAGAAATGACATTTCCGGTCACAGAGCTCCCCGCGACACTTCTCTCCTGCAGACCCTCACCGTTGCGATGGAGCACGCCTCTCCAGGATCAACTTCGGATCAAGTCTGGAGCCCAGCGCACCCTTTTATACTCTCCTGAGCAACCTACTGGAAGTCGGAAGCCAGGCGAGAGCAGCACTTGTCTCTCATCCGGGCAGTGGGCGTGAGGGAGGCGCGGCTCGCACTCAGCCAATCCGAGCGCAGAAAGGGCGGGCATTCCTTCTTGTGGCCCAATCCGGGTAGACTGTCGCCTTCCTCCAGTCCAGTCCAAATCTTACCTAGGCATCTACTAGAGACGTCTCTCTGGGTCCACGAAAGCTCCAGCTTTTTTCTCTTCTCACCTGAGGACATTTTCAGCCTAAACTCTAAAGGATACTCCTCGTGCTGGTCCAATAAGCATGCTGCCCCAGAGATGAGGTAACTTCATTCTTCTTTAATCTCCAAGAAAGACTCGATGGGGTGGTGGATGCTTGACGAGCAGTTGTTTGGTCCAATCGGAGTGCGGCACGCAGTCTGGTCAGCCTATGGAACTCGGATCCTAAAATAAGAGGCGGACCTCTCGGAAGTGGGAATTACTCCGGAGTCGCCGCGATCAGCCAAAGGGCTCTGCGACCCTGGAGCAGCGGAAGCTCGACCTGCGAACACCCTTGTGGCATCGAAAAGAGAGTTGCGAAAGTAAAGGTGCAGTATGAAAAGTGTTCATCCAAAAGTTCACCCGGACACCGCTTGCTAAGTAGGGGGAGGGTCTGTGGGCAGAACCATGCAGATTAGGCTTCCAGGCCTAATGGGGAGGGGTGTGTCGGTGGGCGTGGCTTTGTGCTTCTACCTCTTCAGTGGCTGAGGACAGCGCCGCGCTGCTCTCTGCACACCGTTATGGCTGACTGGACAAGGCAATTGGATGGCCCGCTGCCTGCTTCATTGGCTCCCAAAGAAAGAGGACCGCTGACACGAGATGGGATCTTCCAATTCCGGGAAGCCTGAAGAGCACTGCAATTCACGGAACTCTGCGAGGGGCCTGGACAGCTAGCAGAAGGCACTCCAAGGTGACAGTTTAAGAAATGGCTAGCACAGGTCAGCCTCTCTGTCTCGAGGTGACTTTTTTTTTTAAATTTTATTTAAAAGGAAAAAGAAAAAACAAAACAAAACAAAGCGGTGTAAGGGTACAAGTAATACAGAACTACAAAAAAAAAAAAAAAAAAAAAAACAGTTAAGAAATCACCAGTTAATAGATTACACATTATCATCTTACAGATAGTTACTCAAGTCACAGTATCAAAGCATACAAAGTGGACATTCAAACAGTGAGACTGCAAACAGTTGTGTTCAATGATCCAACCAAAAACATTAATATGATCATCTATTTAACACCCCTAAACACACTTGCAGTTGTATCCTTTAGAGCACTTTTTTCCCTCTCTTTTTTACAACAAAATTCACACATTTTGGGTTTTATTACTCCTTAGTTCTTATTACTTTCTTTTTTTGGAAGAGAATAAAGTCAAATATGGCAAAACAAAGCTGTCAGTCAAAACCAAGGAGAGACATAGCACATGATGTAAAAACAGAGTACAAGGTTAACAACAATGGTTACCATAATGCCTCTTGCTTCCTTAAAAAGAATTGCCTATCTCATTAGGTATTATAAAGTTGAAAACAGTAGAGAACAAGACCAGGAAAACCTAAACCTTGTAAACATTACAGGACTTCCAGAGGAGATAATAGTCAAACCAGAATGGGCATCTTAGTGAATCTTATTGTCTTCAAAGTACTTGCCTATACCCTCAAACTTGATACTATAATACAGCACGGAACAGAGTCTAATCAGTCAAAACAAGATAGTGGGAGTATTACAGGACTTCAAATCAAGTTAATAGGAAATCAAAAAAGTTACTATAATATATCCTGCTAATTTTTTTTATTTTTCCCCTTAATTAAAAAATCATAAAAAATAAATTTTTTTAATGAATAAGGGAGGGACTGAGTGAGATAAAAGAGGACATAACAACATAACAATATATGTCAAAGTGTGACTGTTTCAGCAACATAGTGCTTCACCACCAAATAACCTGACTTAATAGTAGTTACCATAGTGTCTTTTTCCTTGAAATATTTGAATATAACTTCATATACTATAGCTTCAAATATTTCCATATCAAGCAGCCGAGAATAAAGCCAATCCAATTAATAAGTGAAAACTTTACAAGGTTTCAAGTCCACATAATGGGGAATCATGATTACCACATAGTTTTATATATTTGAATCATTACTTACATTAGGGAAACTATTCGGTATTCACACATGCGAGATTGATTTATTTCATTTATGAGTATGGTCTCAAGCTGCACCCAATTATTGATAAATATCTCAATGTAATCCTTCTTTATAGCTGAGTAACACTCCATTGTATAGAAATACCACAAATTTTTTATCCATTCCTCAGTTGATGGACACTTGGGTTGTTTGCAAATCTGGCAATTACAAATTGTGCTGCTATAAACATAGGTGCACATATATCACTGTGGTATGATGCTTTAAGTTCTTCTGGGAATATGCCTAGAAGTGGAATAGCTGGAATAAATGGTACTTCCAATCCCAGCTTTTTGAGAAATCTCCAGACTGACCTCCACAAAGGTTGTACCAGTCTTCACTCCCACCAACAGTGCAGGAGAGTTCCTTTTTCCCTGCAGCCTCTCCAGCATTTGTTGTTGGTGGTTTTCTTGATCTTGGTCATTCTTTCAGGAGTGAGATGGAATCTCAGTGTGGTTTTAATTTACATTTCTCTAATGACCAATGATGATGAACATTTTTTCATATATTTGTTTGCCATTTGTATTTCTTCATCTGAGTAGGATGTATTCATCCCACTGCCCATTTTTGGATTGGATCTTTGAATTTTGGGGGTCTGAGTTTTTTTTTTTTAATTCTTTATATGTTTTAGACAAAAGTCCCTTGTCTAAGGGGGAGTTCAATAAGATCTTTTCCCAGTTTGTGGGTTTTCTTTTCATTATGCTGGAGATTTCTTTTGACATGCAGAAACTTTTTAATAAGAGGTGGTCCCAGTTATTGATTCTGGGAAGTATTTCCCGTGTGGTTTGAGTCCTGTTCATGCATTCTCTACCTACCCCTATGTCTTCAAGGTTTCTACCCAATTTGTCTTCCAGTAGATTTAGTGTTTCTGTTTTAATATTCATATCTTTGATCCATTTAGATTTTAATTTAGTAGATGGTGATAGGCATGGGTCTAGCTTTAGTTTTCGGCAAATGGAGAGCCAGTTTTTCCAACACCATTTATTAAAGAGACTGTCCTTCCAGTGAACCTGCTTGGCTCCTTTTTCAAAGATAAGGTGGTTGAGTCTTTGTAGTTGTGGTTATATCTTCTAATCTATTCCATTGATCTTTGGCTCTGTTTTGATTCCAGTACCATGTTGATTTTACTACTGTTGCTTTGTAGTATAACTTCAAATCAGGGATTGTGATGCCTCCTGCCTTGCCTTTGCTGCTTAGAATTGCTTTTGATATTCTAGATCTCTTCTGGTTCCAGATGAAATTTAGGAGTGATTTCTCTATATCTATAAGGTATGTTGACGGTATTTTTATTGGGATTGCATTGAATCTGTATAACAGTTTTGGGAGAATGGCCATTTTCACAATGTTCGTTCTTCCTATTCATGAGCAAGGGATGTCTTTCCATTTTCTTAGATCATCTTCAATTTCTTTTTTCAGTGTATTATAATTTTCCCTGTATAGGTCTTTCACTTCTTTTGTAGGAGTAATTCCTAAATATTTCATTTTTTTGCTTGCTAGTATTAAGAGTGTGGTTTCTCTTATTTCTCTCTCTGTGATTTTGTTTTTAGTGTATAGGAATGCTATTGATTTCTGAGTATTGATTTTAGAAATACAGAAGATCATCAACACCTATTTCGAAAACCTATACTCTCAAAGGTTTGATAACATAGAAGAAATAGACAGATTCTTAGAAACATATAAAGTGCCAAAGCTAGATCAAAAGATGTAAAACTGCTGAATAACCCAATCTCTATTAATGAAATTGAAAATGTAATTAAGTCCTTACATACAAAGAAGAGCCCAGGCCCAGATGGATTCACTGCAGAATTCTACAAGAAATACAAAGAAGACTTAATGCTGACACTCGTCAAACTATTCAATGAAATTGAAAGGGAAGCAATCCTTCCTAAGTCATTCCTGGAAGCAAATATTACTCTTGTAGCAAAACCTGAGAAAGACCCAACTAAAAAAAGAACTATATACCAATCTCCCTAATGAACACAGATGCAAAAACCCTCAATAAAATATTGGCAAATAGAATGCAGCAAATCATCAAGAAGATTATACACCATGACCAAGTGGGATTCATCCCAAGAATGCAGGGATGTTTCAACATATGTATATCAATAAATGTAATCCACCATATCAATAAAGCCAAAAGTAAGAATCACATGATCATTTCTATAGATGCAGAAAAAGCCTTCGATAAGGTCCAACATTCACTCATGATAAGAACTTTACAGAAAATTGGAATAGATTGTCTTTACCTCAATATAATAAAGGCCATTTATGACAAACCAACAGCCAGCATCATACTAAATGGCCAAAAATTGAAAGCCTTTACTTTAAAATCAGGCATAAGACAAGGATGTCCTTTATCACCACTCCTATTTAATATAGTACTGGAAGTACTAGCCAGAGCAATTAGATAAGAGAGAGAAATAAAAGGGGTAAAGATAGGAAAAGAAGAAGTTAAATTATCATTGTTTGCAGATGACATGATACTCTACATAGAAGACCCCCTAAACTCCATTGAAAGACTCTTAGATATAATGAATTCAGTAATGTATCTGGGTGACTCTTTACTTCTGTGTCTCTGCATCTGTTTGACGTTCTCCAGGTGCCCGTGCTTAGTCCTCAGCCAGCTGAGTGACACTGCACCCCCAGACCCAGGAGGTGAAGCCCCAGAGGGCCTGATCACTTGGAGCCACAGCTCTGTCACCTGGGACAGAATTCTGGTTAGGGGTGTGGCCGCGGCAGGGTGGAGGGCACTGCAGGCATCTCCTGGTGTTGGACTGGCCAGACCCTCTTGGGCTGGGTGAATGGGAGGTTACTTCCTGGGATAAGTTTGGCGTTGTGTAAGAAGCTTCCAGGACCCTGTAGCATCCCAAGTGCCCAAGGCCATGGCTTTCCCCTTGTGAAACACTGACTCAACCTTTATAGACCTGTGGGCTGTGGATTGCTTGGGTTGAAGCGACTAAAGGTGCTTAGCCTACTTTGAGCCATTGCTAAGTGGAAGGTTTTGGTGCTAGTTATTATTTTAATTATAATTAAGACAATGAAAACCAATTACTGATGTGGAACCTTATTATATATACTAGGTAACATAAATAATATATAGTTATTATAACGTAAAAGCAATATATAAGTTTAAGCAAATACAATGTGTGAATTATAAAAAAAAGTATATACAAAACATGTTAAAAATCACAAAATAACTTATAAGAAAATGTACATAATACAGGAAAATATGTAAATGCAGACAGTAAAACAATTTTACAAGAAATATATAGCTGACAATATACTGTTAGTAATCTTTATAAAGTAAAATTGATAAAACATGCCGAATTTTAAGTAATTATATGATTTAAGCATTTACTGATTTATGTAGTTAAAATGAACATGAATGTAGAATATAAAAGA